ATACACACACTCACACACGTGCCTACTCACACTCATACAAATGCATGTTCACGCTCACATGTGCACACTAACACGTATTCATACACGCGCATGTTCACACTCACGCACGTGCACACTCAGATTTATACACAGGCATGTTCACACTCACATGTGCACACTCACATGCATCCACACACGTGCATGTTCACACTCTCACACACGTGTACACTCATACACAAGCATGTTCACACTCACATGCACCTTCATTCACACACGCACGTGCACACTCACACTCATACACATGCATGTTCACACTCACGCGTGTACAGTAACATGCATGCATACACATGCATGTTCACACTCACACGTGCACACTCACGTGCATGTTCACACTCACGCGCACATTCATACACACACACACATACATACTCACACATGCACATTCACACACATGCATACATGTTCTCTGCCCTGAACAGGACCAAGGCGGGTAAGACTCCTATGTCTGGCTCCACCCACTGTTCTCTGCCTCCTGCCCTGGCTCTTCTCAGCTGTCCTCTACCTAGACGATATCTACTTTCCCCAGGCCTGCTGGGTCAAAGACTGCTCCCTGGAGACACCCTGTTTGACCTCTGTCCCCGGGCAGCTGTAGCCCATCCACTGCTACAGGTTCCCATACCCCCGGACTCAGCAGGGTCCTCAAATCTCCTGACTTGGTAAACCGAAATGCGTGTCCTCGATGCAAGGGCTCAGGGCCTCCTCTCTATTGTGTGCTCGGACTTATGATCCCAAAGCAAGCGGCAGATCCCGAGTGGCAGTGTGTCCGATGTCCTGGTGTCCTCACAGCCTCCTTCCATCTACCAGCTGTGGGTCTCAGAACGAGTTCATCAGTCTCTCTGATTCACAGTTCTTAGCTCCGTAAGACGATGCAGAACCTCACAGGATCGTTGTGAGAATTAAATCAGAGTGTGTGAGTGAATGCGTATGCGTGTGCATGTGTTTGAGTGTGTAAGAGTGTGTATTGTGTGAGCGCGTGTGAATGTGAGCGTATGCATGTGGGTGAGAATGTGTGCGAACGTGCCTGTGTAGATGAATGTGCGTGTGAGTGTGAACACTCGTGTGCCTGAGTGTGCATGTGAGTGTGTGTGTGTGTATGAATGTGCATGTGAGTGTGAACGTGCATGTGTCTGAATGTGAACATACGTGAGGGTGAATGTGTGTGAGTGTGCATGTGTGTGTATAAACGTGCATGGGAGTGTGAATGTGTGTGAGATTGTGCGCGTGGAGTGTGGCCCGCATAAATGCTTATTAAACATTATAGTGTGAGTTGCTGTTCCGTATCCAAAGATACGCGCTCTCACGCTGGGCTTTGTCATTGTGTAGCTGATACAGCAGCTGTGTAGCTGTTTTCCTCCTTGGTTCCCTGAAGGCAGACCATAGATTGCATAGTCTTGTGTTCCTTTCAGTTACATTTACTTATTATCTATTCGTGTGCGCGTGTGTGTGTGTGTGTGTGCGTGTGTGTGTGCGTGTGTGTGTGTACGTGTTTGTGTGTGTGCGTGTTTGTGTGTGCGTGTGTGTTTGTGTGTGCGTGTGTGTGCGTGTGTGTGTGTCCGTATAACCAGGATCCTACCACAGCGTGGACATGGAGGTCAGTGGATAGCTTTCAGGAGTCAATTCTGTCTTTCCATCGTGGGTTCCTGGGGATTGAACTTGAGTCATCGGGTTTGGAGGCGACCGTCTTTCCCAGCTGAGCCATCTCCCTGGCCCTGTTCTATGTAACTGGAAGGACAGACAGATGGCCTGGCTGAGTGGAGAGATGGATGGATGGGCTGTCACAGTTTGGATGGAAGGATGGGTGTGGGATGAATGGATAGGCGTCCTGAAGGAAGATGACAGACTGACAGATGGGTGTGTAGAGGTTGAAGGTGTCGGATGGACAGACACATGGATGTTTAGTACTGTGCTCAATTCTTAATTCCACATGCCTAGGAGGTGGTTGGGGTAGTAAGTGCTGAGTCCCAAGGGGTGTGGTGATTGATACCACCCAGGACCTCAGTGAAACTCCTGCGCTGCTGTGTGGCTTGAGAGGCCATCCCAGAGCCCCACTTCCACTGGTGATGGACGATTGGGTCCCCCTTGCATTGGCTGAGAGCATCCTGTCGCCCCCTGCTGGTAGCAACATGGAACAGCATTGCCCAACAGTTACCCTACCCCCAGGTTTTCCTTCTGGTGGGTGGTCCACAGTGGGGTACTCAACCTTTCTTTCCCATGAGCCTTCTCCAAGGCCACCTTGTGACAGCAGAGATGTAATTGGAAAGCCAGAACTTTTTAACACCTCCCAGGGAAATTTGAGTTCCTGACCATCAGACCCTCTCGGAAAGCCCTGACGAGGGGAGGTGGCTACAGTCGCTGGAAAAATACGGGCTCTTGCTTTGAGGCTGTTATAGGCTATCTCTGAATTGTCAGGCAGTGTCCAGAGTGTTTGTGGACAGACGGTGTCAAAAAGGGTTAAGAGCTGTGGGTTGACCAAGCAAGATGGCACTTAACCCGTAAAACCAGCACTTGGGAGGTAAAAGCAGGAAGAACAGGAGTTCAGGGATAGCCTCAGCTACAGAGCAAGTTTGAATCTAGCCTGGGCTACATGGAACCCTCTCTAAAACAAAAAAAAACAAGCCAAAACCAAAAACAAAACCCTGTGGTTTTACATTGCAGTGCTACTCCACTCATCCTGGAAGTCCTCCCTCCCCTCACCTGTAAGATAGGATAGAATAACTGAGATTATATTCTATAGAGGACGCTCAGCCCAGAGCTGGCCACCTGGAAGCCGACAGCCCATGCTGATCGCATGGCTGTGTTGCTGACTAAGCCTGCTTTCCCTCCCTTCCCGTCTCCCACTCAGGCAGAGATGATGGCCCACAGATTTGATTTCTGTATTAGAATGCAAGCCCTCGGGAGGTATGTTTCATCTGTGCATCTCAGCTAGAGCTGAACACAGCTGTCCTCCTTGGGGGAGTCATGGAAATGAATTTGGGCTCAGCAAAGGCTCTGAGGTTTTCTCCAGACTTACAGGAACCCACATATCCATGCAGGTTTGATACCTATATGCAATCTTGTGTAGAAAGGAAGGAGCAAGTGGCGTGGGGCTGCCCTGCTGGCTTCTACATACAGATTCACCACCATGGGTAGAAAACCGGTGAGCGGGAAAGCCTGGGGCTGGGGACACAGCTCAGTTGGTGAAGAATTGGCCACATAAACATGGGGACTGGAACTCAGATCCTCAGCAGTGGGAGGGCAGAGGCAGGAGGATACATGGAGCTCACTGGCCAGGCCGTGTTGCTGAACTAGCTTCCAGTTTTATTGAAAAAAACCCTGTCTCAAAACACAATGGGTAGTGACTGAAGAAGTTACTCAACATCGACCTCTGGCCTCAACACACTACTCATAACACACGCATGCACACATATACATACACAGAGACACAAACAGACTCACGCAGGCACACACTCATAACACACAGACACATACATACACACTGACTCACACGTACTCACACACATACATACATACATACATACACACATACAAAGCAGAGACACACAAATACAGACACATTCATACAGACATACACACATATATACCAAAGACGCACACAAACACACACTGATAACACATACATACATACACACAGACACAGATACACACAGAGAGATACATACATATATACATACATACATACATACATACACACCAAATCATACATATACAGAAACACATACATACATATACACCGGTTCATACATACATACACACACATACCAGAGACACACAAATACAGACACATAGATAAAGACACACACAGGTACATACCAGAGACACACTAATACATACATACAGGCACATACATACCACAGACACAGAGACACAGAAATACACACACATACATACCAGAGACACATACATACACACACACACACACACGTGCCCACTGGGTCCATACTGAATGTACATTAAAGTCCTTTTTTGTCATTATTTTTTTTTTAAAGATTTATTTATTTGTTTGGACACACTAGAAGAGGGCAAATGATTCCATTACAGATGGTTGTGAGCCACCATGTGGTTGCTGGGATTTGAACTCAGGACCTCTGGAAGAGCAGTCAGTGTTCTTAACCATTGAGCCATCTCGCCAGCCCCTTGTCATTATTTTTTAAGTACTTTGTAACAACTAACACCTGAGCACTGAGATTGCATTAGGTGTTCTAGGCCACGTGAGATATTTGGAAACCCACGGGAGGGTGTGTGCTGATCCTATACAAACCCCAGACTCCAGCCCAGTAATTAAAGTGCCCCAATTCCAGTGTGGTCCTGGAGCCCATGCAGGCCTGCTCTCAAGGCTCTTGCAGCCCTCTCTGGGCCTCCACACACCCCCTTGAGGATGCTCAGGACCTCTTTCCATTCTGGGCTTCGGTGGGGGGAACCCTCACGATTGTATCCGATGTTTTACAGGTGGTAGCCCGGTGGCCTGAAGCTTGACCAGATGGAGTCCTTCCAGCATGTGACCCCAGAAGGTGGCACACAGCTTGGTCACTTATTGGAGGTAGAGAAGAGCCCAGCATCAAAGCTGTCAGTGAACTAATCAAGCTCTACAGCCCAAGGGGCTGAGAAGGGGTCAGAGTGACATTGTAACCGCGGGGATCCCTCCCCTTGATCCCTGTCACCAGAGTTCTTTAGCCACACTCTGGGTGAGGAACAAGATGTGAGGGATGGAGACCATGTCCCCTAAATCCCCTCTCTTGGCCCCAGGCAGCTCATCTTGATCTTGGGATTCCAGCAACCTTTGTCCTTGTCACCTCTGGACTCAGCCAGGCACTGGCTTGTTTTCCTGCTACAGTGTCTCTGTGGAGGAATCAGAGCACCAAGCCCTTGCTTCATTCCTGCGGAGTCCAGAGAAGCCACGCCCTCCACGCCCCTTCCCAGCCAGCCACCCAGCCAGCCCTGAGCGAGTCCGGAATGATCCTGCTATGGCCAAGCTCTGGTTCAAGTTCCAGCGGTGTTTCCGGTATTTCCGCAGGAAGCCCGTGCGCTTCTTTACCCTGCTGGCTATCTACCTGACCGCCGGGAGCCTCGTCTTCCTGCACTCGGGTTTCGTGGGCCAGCCCGCGGTGCCTCAGAGCCAGGTCAGCCCCGCAGCAGCGGGGAGCCCGGCAGAAGGAGCCGAGCTGCCTTTCCTGGGTGACTTGCACCTGGGCAGAGGTTTCCGGGACACCGTGGAGGCCTCCAGCATCGCACGCAGGTACGGACCCACGTTCAAAGGCAAGGATACCAGCGAGAGAGCCAAGCTGGGTGACTACGGAGGAGCCTGGAGCCGAGCCCTCAAGGGGAGGGTTGTTAAAGAGAAGGAAAAGGAGGAAGAGAGAGGTAAGAGCCTGGAGGGGATTGAGGGAAAATGCAGACACCAGTGAAGAAGTAACAGCCACCAACGGGTCTCAGAGCTCCAGACACGCGTGAATGTAGGGAATTGGTCCTGTCATCCGTAATGAGTGAGTCACATAGCAGCTCCTTAACTGGCAGCTTCCATTTGAACCCCACACTTGCCTTGGTTTCGAATCCCACTGCTTGTTAAACACGCAGAAACTCCAGAATCAGTGTTCCAGAGCACTGAGTGTCCCAGGATCCGTGGCGAGCACTTGACATGGGCTGAATCATGTTCCACAGTGCTCACCAGAGCTGCTACCCCTCCTGTTGTAAAGACAGGGATACAGGGTGGATACAGACATCCCTGCCCTGGGGAGGCACAGCTGGGAGGAGTCAAAGGCTAGCCTGGGTTATATAATGAGACTGTCTCAAAGAGGGAAAAACAAAAACAAAACACTGGAAGCCCAGGATTAATGGCAGCTACTTAGTGAAATAAAGCCAAGGCTATGCTAAAGAGTTTTTTCCCTGGGCATTAACACTGTCCGGGGAGGGGAGGAGTCAAAGGCTAGCCTGGGCTATATAATGAGACCATGCTCTAGACATTAACACTGTCCTGGGGAGGGGAGGAGTTAGAGGCTAGCCTGGGCTATATAATGAGGTGGTACTCCAGACACTAACACTGTCCTGGGGAGGGGAGGAGTCAGAGGCTAGCCTGGGCTAATTAATGAGCAGATGCTCCTGGCACTAACACGGGGTAAATTCCATTGCCTTGCATTTTCTCAGCCTTTTACACCCAAAAAGATTCTGATTACTGGTACGTACCATGGGCTAGAACAGGGTACGGATGAGCCCATGCCTGTTTAACAGATGTGGAGGGCGGGGGTCAGGGGTGTAGCTCGATTAATAGAGTGCTTCCCCAGTATGCACGATCCCTGGGGTCTCTGTCCCCAGGCTGGGTAGCGTACAGCTGAAATCCCAGCACCACAGAGGTGGAAACAAGTCTCAGAAGTTCAAGGATATTCCTAGCTACATAGAGAATTGGAGGTCAGAGTAGGCTAGGAGACCCCGTCTCACAGACAAGCAAGTGGAACTGGACAGATGCTCCATCGGGTCAGAGATCAGATGCATACTGTTCTTGCAGAGGACCCAAGTTCCGTTCCCAGCACCCACGTCGGGTAGTTTACACCTACCTGTAACCCCAGCTCCAGGGTGAATCTTATGCCTCTGGTGCATAGCCACCACCACACATGTAAATAATGTAAAATAAAAATCAAGAACCGGATATGGAAATGGGGTCTTGAGAGACAAAGATGCCAGTTCAGGGCTTCACAACTGTTGTCAATATCACCTGGGGTTTTAGTGCTGTCTATCCAGATGCCTGACTCTCTCTGAAGGTATCCCCACTCCACTGGCAGCTACCATGTGACCAGCGGGCTGGGGAAACCTGGCCCAGCAACAGCTCACGAGATTACAATGGGAAGATGTGCGGGGAAGCCGGTGAGGATGGGATGAAAGGATTGGTCCCGCAAGCCATCGTGTACCACTGTATGATGCCCTTCTCCACCCCTGGAAGGCACAGAATTCACAGAGGGACCTATCCTAGGGACAGGGACAGGTGCCCCTGCCCCAGTCCCAACCTGAACCTGGTTCAGAAGCTATCCAGGAGACTCTTAGCATCCTCTCCTGCGAGAGAATCCAGAACTCACAGACACAAGAAGACAGAACAGGCTGGGGGCCTTATCCTAGGATTCCAGCCTCTCTTTAGTCACCTGTGTGGCCTGGACAATGGCTTGACCTTCTGTTTTTTTTTTTTTGTTGTTTTTTGTTTTTTTGATTTTTTGGTTTTTCGAGACAGGGTTTCTCTGTGTAGCCCTGGCTGTCCTGGAACTCACTCTGTAGACCAGGCTGGCCTCGAACTCAGAAATCCTCTGCCTCCCAAGTACTGGGATTAAAAGCGTGCACCACCACTGCCCGTCTAGCTTGACCTTCTGTGCCTGAAGTTCCACACCTATCTCACAGGCCTAACAATGGCTTCCTTCCAGGCAGACCCGAGAGCCCAGTAAGACTTGGATCCGACAATGCATCTGGGACAGAACCAGCAGTTAGCAATGTTCAGGAAGTATCGCAGCGATCTACTCAGAGAGCAGCCTTCTCTTAGCATTGCGAGGCTGGTCTGTTAAGAGAAATCACTGTTCTTCCCATGTTTTCCCCTCAGATTGCACCTCTGGCCACTCCAAATACCACCGGGTCCTTTAAAGTCCCCAAAGTCCCTGCCAGCTTGATTCTTAGGTTCTCAGATTCCCCCCTACACTGCATCCTTCTATCCCTGCTGTGCTCTGACCATCTTCCTGCTCTCTTTGCCTCAGGAGCTCAGTCCTTTAGCCTACTTCCTCTTTCCCACACACATCTCTGCATAGCTCCTTTTTGGAGCCTCTGAGCGACCTAACCAGTTCCATCCGGTGCGTAGGTCACAGCCACACTCCTTTGCTTGACCCTGCAGCCATGCACATCACCAGTCAAAGACATTTTGTGGGTACAGCCGGGTCTCTGCACTCTGTGCTCCAGAGGGCAGGGGTATCCTAGTCTTTGCCAGCTCAACCCATCAGCACCTGGGACAGCACCAGGTGCGTGCTCTGGCTGCACCCAACAGATGCCCGAGTGGCAGAATGGGCTGATGAATGTGGGACTCGCCCTCTCCCGGGAGACCTCCCGATTTCAGCTTTGTCCAGCTCCAGTACTCTGCTGCTTCCAAGTCTGATCAGATGTGTGTCACAGGTCACACAGTGACTCCTGCGACAATGGATATGTATGACAATGTCCCGGTGGGCTGAGAGAATCAAATGCAGTCAGCTCTCCATAGCTGAGGGGTCACACCCGGGGATTCAGCCCACGGACAAACAAACAAACACCTAAGAATGCATTTGTAAGGAACACACACTGGCTTTCCCCCTTGTATTTCTAGGGTTCACACTGTGTCAGGGGCTAAAGTCATTTAGAGAGAGAGAACTGCTGAACACGAGAGGGAGGAGAGGTCTGAGTTCTATGCAAATGCTGCACTTTGCAAACATGTTGGAGATGCTGGACCCCCCCATCCCCGTGGCATACTGAGAGACCATCACATGGCCGCTATGACTGTAGGCAGTAACATCACTGTTTATTGAGCGCCTGCCCCATGCTCTCTGCTGTTTATGTCCTGTTCACAGCTTAGAACAGAGCGGTCTGTGCACGTGCCTGGCTCACTGTCTGCTTCCTGATGTCACTTAGTAGCTGCCCTGTTGTTAGTACTGGTGCTAACCGTTGAGTGGCGGCCAGGGGCTGGACCATGTGGATTGATTCGTTGCTTTATTTAACCAGCACCGCTTCACAAATTGGAGACTGTTTTGGTCCATATTGAACACAGTAAGACTGGACTCAGAGAATAACAGCTTGCCCTGGTGACAGAGATTGCCGGATAAGTGAAGTTATTAGCTTCCAAAGCATGTGTGTCTTCCTCTCAATCCTGGGCACAGTCCAGCAGTTGACCATATACATGTGTTATGAACTGCAAAAAAAAAAAAAAAAAAAAAAAGAAGAACAAATAGCAGAGTAGCCCCAAGCTCTGGGCTCTTGGCAGGCAGACCCAGAAGCAGTGTCATTAGGAAAACACATCCTGTCTGTTCGAGGTTTGGCACCTTAGATCAGCACTACCAAGATCAAGATGCTTTTCTGACCTGACACTGAAACCTGGCTCCCACCCAAACTGGCAGTCCCTTGATGGATGTAGACATGTGAGACCGAGAGCCAGGCCCTGCCTGGAGCTGCACACACACACTTCACTTCCCACAACCCCACAACAGCCAGTGAGTGGCTTCACAACTCCATCTAACCAGGAAGGAAGGAACACAGCAGAAACCTAAGGTGCAACGCCTCATGCTAGCTGCAGTGTGCACACGCGTGTGGAAGTGTTCACCCCATACACGTGTGTGCATCCACACGTGCACATACGTGAATATTCACCTTACCCACAAACATACATACATGTTTACACATAGAAACATATGCACATATACTGTGAACATGCATACATTCAATATGTGTATATATTGTGTATATAAATATATATGTACATATCTCCACACCCATTTGTTTGTCTGTTCCATCTATGGGTGCCATACACTCTTTCTAGTGTCCTCTTTTCATTTGGTGACATGGTCATCTTCTCGGTCACATGGTCATCTTCTCGGTCACATGGTCATCTTCTTACAAGGCCATCAGCTCTGTTGGTTTGGGGCTTCCTTCCTCCAGTTAACCTCATCCCTCCTGACTGTCGGTCACAAGGCCGTCTTCTGAAGCATTTGGTCTTAAGAATCTGGTGTCTCTCCTTGGGAAGGGGCTGTGCACGAGACAGAACTCACCTCAAATAACCCAGGGCAGAATATTTGACCCCACTTGTTGGAGAGGGTAATGATGTCTCCAGAAGCCCAGCTCTGTGCCTAGGTGCTACAAACCCAGACCTGGCTAACGTCAACACAGTGGGATACCTCAGAATCCTTCCACAACAGTACAGAGAAAAACATGCCAGCCTGCTTGTACTCAGCCATACTCTTAGCAAATGGCTTCCGTCAGAGAGAAAGAACTTCCCTGAAAAGATTAACGGGAGTAGAAGGAAAAGTAAGAAAAGGGAAGAATTCAGGGCAGGAGAGAAGGCCCTTACGTGCTGGATTCTGAGCTGGAGATAATTTCATAGCTGTTTCAGTGTTTCCTGGGTCCTGGAGATGCTGGTGGATTGTGTAAACTCAGCCATAAATCCCCCCATTGTGTGGCCTGTGACTAGGTCCCTGTGTTACATACCTGACCTGCCCTGCCTCTGAGGTTCTGCCTGGGAAGGAGGCCGGGGAGGACCCAGTGGTTGACATTCACAAGGCTGAGGTCAAACCTGGCCGTGCCAGGACATTCCAAGGACAGGAGCCAGATAGGCTGGCAGGGAGGCACCACCAGGTCCTGCCTTGACGTTGACTTCACTGGGCAGTGGAATGTGACATGCCAGTGTTCAGTGTGCCCAAAGGACCTTGTGTCTCCCTTCCTTTGACAGATAACGGAGTAGACATTCAGGTGTTCCTTCAACAGATGTGATACAAGCTGTGTGGGACATCTCAGTTTAATACTAGCTTGGGGAGGGCCAGATGGAGTCACACGGCATTCAGTAGTTCAGATAGATCCCTGGGTTCCCAAAGCCCTGGGTGCCACTCCCCAACACATCCCCACCCCAGACAAACTGAAAAAGGAGCCTCTGCCACAGTGAGAGTGTCGCTTCAAACTAAAAGCCCAGGTTTGGAGGAGAAAGATGTGTGCTCCAATCCTGACTGTAGCCACAGTGTGCTTGCACGCACTCCTGCTTTTTCTTTCTCTCTCTCTCTCTCTCTCTCTCTCTCTCTCGCTCTCTCTCGCTCTCTCTCGCTCTCTCTCGCTCTCTCTCGCTCTCTCTCGCTCTCTCTCGCTCTCTCTCTCTTTCTCTCTCCCGCTCTCTCTCACTCTCTCTCTCTTTCTCATATCCTCCACCCTGGTGTTTGAGCAGAATGGATAAATCCCCCCCCCCCAGGGTTCTGCCTCAAAGGGGGGGGGTTGGGGGGGGGGGGGGGGGGTAGCTGGGCTTGAGCATTTTTGTCTGAGATGCTCCTTATGGGTGGATTCAGCAAATCCATGGGCCATTGTCAAGTGATAACTGTGTATGTCCCGGACCCTGAATTTTAACCGGAAACAGAAGTAAACATGGACCCATATGTTCAGTCCTTTAGCAAAGGCCCAGAACGAAGCGCTCCTAGGCAGAGGAAGTGTCAACTGTCATTGAGGTTTTCCTGGTCACTCCCTGGGAAGGCCATTTAATCCCAGGACCTGGCTGAATCCTTTTCTTCCAAAGGAAGGGCAAAAAGAGCTAACGTGGGTCCCACAGAACTGCATTCAAATCTTCATTCAGCTTTTAGCTTGAGCTTCTCCTCTCTAGGCCTCTGTAAGAGCAGAAGAATACTGGGTCTGTTCAGTGTACAGGCACATCCCAAACATCCAGAAGAAGGATCTGGAGCCAGGCTATGTGTGTGAGCGTCCAGCTCTGGCTTTATTTATACAAGCTGTGTTACCCTGAGCAGATAGCAACCTCTCTGGGCCACAGAGTAGAGACAATATCCTCACAGAGTCTTGGTGAGGATTCGGTAAGTGGTGTGTGTGTGATGTGAAGCACTTACCATAACTTGCGTCCAGAAGTTGGGGAAATGTTAAGGAAAAGAATAAGAGATTTTGCAAAAAACTATAAGGTGCTGTCTCTGTGTATGAGTTTCGGCCAGACACAAAGGGAAGTGTTCACAGTGTCAACAATTTCATGGTTCTTAGGTATTTCGTTTGAAGTGCCTCTTGGAGGGAAGCATCCACCCGAGTCCCCCAGAGAGACAAACTGTAAAGTGTTTGGCCCAGCCCCGTGAATGGCCGGTGTCTTATTCTGCTGTCCAGACCCTTGTACCTAGCACACACAGGACAGCATAACAGGGCATCCATGAGGCATTCCAGTCTGGCCACTGATTGGTGGTTTTATCCCCAAGAAAAACACAGGAAAGTCAACCATCTAAGCCCCATACACCAGAGCTGGGGAGTAACCATGTCAAGTGAGGTCAGAACCTTGAACCATCCCAAGTGCAGTGAGACCCTTGAGGCAGGCTGTAAAAGAATAGAAGGTTCCAGATCTTCCACAGTCACTAAAACTGACCTTATCCCAGGTGAAGTAGGACTCCTCCTGGGCTACAGATGTGACCCCAGTGTTCAGTGTCACCAGTAGACCCTGAAGGTGGCTGTGGTCCAGGGAAAGGAACTCCTCCTGTGCCCTACTGTCCCCAGGGTCTACAGTCTCACAGTTCCCACTGCCCTGATTGGCCAAGGCCCAGAAGTTCCCATCTCTTGCTTGTGCAGTGAGGACAGAATCAGGTGCTACACACTTGACAAAACCATACAGCCAAGGGTACTTGGGCCACCTCCCACAGCCCTCTGGCTTCATCCTCAAGCATATCTGACTCTTCCTCTTTCCCCACAGCCAAATACATCGGCTGCTACCTGGACGACATCCAGAGCCGAGCCCTTCGAGGTGTGTCCTTTTTCGACTACAAAAAGATGACAGTCTTCCGTTGCCAGGACAACTGTGCTGAACGGTAGTGCCCCGTGCCCCAACGCTGCCATGATATCCCCAGACACATCCCTTCCAACCTTTTCTGTGGGGTGTTCCTTCAATAATGTTATTTGCCTTGGCTTGTCAGAGGGTAAATGGGGGAATATAAAAAGAAAGGATTGCAAGAATGATTGACTGGTGTGTATGCACATGTGTGCACATAAGCATATATGTACACACATACAAAACTGTATATATGCATGTTTGTGCACGTGTCTGCATATATGTGTGCATGCATCTGTGTACATGAGCATGTGTGTACACACATATAAGTATATATGTTTGTGTACATGTGTCTGCATATGCATGTATGTGCACATAAGCATGTGTGTACACATGTATAAATGCATATGTACATGTTTGTGCACATGTATGTGTGCATATAGATGAGCATGCACATGTATGCAGATAAGCATTGTGTACACACATGTAAATGTATATATGTTTGTATACATGCATGTATGTGCACATAAGCATGTGTGTACACACATATAAATGTATATGTACATGTTTGTGTACATGTGCATCTGCATATGTGTGCCAGTGTATGTGTGTGCACATAAGCATGTGTGTACACATATGTATAAATGCATATGTACATGTTTGTGCACATGTATATGTGCATTTGGATGGGCATGCACATGTATGCAGATAAGCATGTGTGTACACACATATAGATGTATATATACATGTTTGTGTACATGTGCATCTGCATATGTGTGCACATGCATGTATGCATGCAAAGATGCATGCAATGGGAGTATGACTGTACAGCCGTATGGAGTGTGCCGAGGAGCTGGCTTGTAAGGTATGGTGTGCGTGGTCAGCTGCTTACATGGGGGAGAGTAGTCTGGACAACGGTCTCTGAGATGTGGTGGTTGTGTGATCGCAAGTCTTGGCAGTCCTCTTGCCTCGTGCTCTGGAGTCACTGGGATTGCAGGCCTGTGCCCTCGTGCCTGGTTTTAAACTCTACCTCTTAAAGAACACAGTTTACAAAACCCTGTAGACTTCCAGTTCCCCCAAAGCCAGGAGGTCAGCTGACATACAAGCCTCTTCCCTGGCTGGAAGTTGTTGAGCTCTCTCTAGAACAGTGTTCCTCCTCCTAAGCCTCCATCCCTTCTGGCTCTGAGGTACAGGCTATCTCCAGTTTCAGAACTGATAGTATAGTTTCCTTGGGAAACGCTGCTTCTGTCAGTGGGTTCCGTTGTAGGAGAGGGCCCCGAGGGATGTCTGAGAAGCAGGAGTATAGGGTCAGGGACACGGAGGCATGTCCTGCGAGTGAGGTTCCAAGGTGCCCGGTCATGTCAACTGTTCTTCCTTCATCTTCTAGGAGGAGCAGGTGAATAGGGCAGGGCTAATGTCACCAAGTCACCAGGGCATGGGCAGCCATAAATCTGGGTGACTCTGGCCATCTACCTAGCACCACGTCAGGATCTGGGAGACAGCTGTTGCCACCAGCATTTCCTCTGTCAAGGGACATTCTGAGGAGCCCTCGTGGCTTTGGGAGCACAGTGAGCAGGAGGCTGGCAGGGCTCTCCCTTCCCCGAATTCTCAGCCATAGCCTGCACCTCCTTCTGTTTTTAGACCGGTGTCTACCAAGTGACCTTTTTAGGAAAAGATTCCAGCTAGGAAAAAATAGCACATCCTTACAGCCTCTGGAATTTTGTTTTGCTTTGTTTGGAGGAAGAAATTTTCTTCTTGGCTGGGTATGTGAGCTTGGTTTTGTAGCCTGCCAAAGGGATCCAAGTGCCCTGGCTCCTCCCCCTTCTCCAGCGCTTCCCAAGGGACCTGGCAATGAGGTGATGAGGTTCCTGGAAGGCGGAGGTTGGGTTCTTCAGAGGTGGAAGAGGAGGGTGGTGGTGTGTATGTATGTGGGTGTGTGCTCAGGATCTGGTGGGTGTGGTTATGGCTGTGTATGTGTGTAGCTGTATGTGTATGTGTGTGTATATATATGTTTGAAGTGTGTGTGTATGAATGAATTGTGAATGTGTATGTGAGTGTATGTATATATGAATATATGAATATCTGTGAATGTTTGAGTATGTAAGAGTATGTGTGTGCATGTGTGTGTGTGTGTGTGTGTGTGTGTGTGTATGCACATAGCTGTATGGGTGTATATGTGTATGCATGTGTATGCGTGTGTGTGTGTGTGTGTGCATAGCTGTATGGTTGTGTGTATCTGTGTGTGTGTATGAGTGAATTGTGTAGGTGAATGTGTATATGACTGTGTGTATGTATGTATCTATGAATGTATGTGTGTGGCTGTGTATGTGTGTAGCTGTATGGGTGTGTGTATGGGCGTAGCTGTATGGGGGGTGTGAGTGAATCTATATATGTGTGTATATGAGTATCTATAAATGTGTGAGTACACGTGTGAGTGAATGTGTGTACGTGTATCGGTGAATGCCTGAGTTTGTAAGGGTCTGTGTGTGATCGTCTTCATATGTGTGCATGAGTGGATACGTGCATATACATGACAGTATGAGTGCATATCTCTGAATGTATGAGTGTGTGCGTGTGTTATGTGTGATGGTGAGTGTCAGTGTGGACATAGAGGATGTAACATATCAGGCAGTGATGAGGGCTGTCAGGTGTCCTCAGAATGTTCTCTGTGTCCCCGGGGGTCTGACTCCCTACCCTCTGTGACTCCCAGCAGAATGTCCTACCCTGCGGAGTAGGCATGACCCCATTCCTCCTCCATCCCTGCCCTCCCTGCCCTCTACCCTTCTGTCCCCGTTCTGAAGTCTCCCGTGCTCCTGCCTCCTGATCTCCATGCCTCCTGTCCCCTGGGGTCTCCCTGGTGCCGTTGCCCTGTCTGACAGCAGCTTCCCCCTACCCCTGCCCCCAGGGGTTACCTGTACGCTGGGCTGGAGTTCGGCGCCGAGTGCTACTGCGGCCACAAAATCCAGGCAGCCAACGTGAGCGAATCCGACTGTGACATGGAGTGCAAGGGAGAACGGGGCAGTGTGTGTGGTGGCATCAACCGCCTCTCCGTCTATCGGCTGCAGCTGGCCCAGGAGTCTGCCCGAAGGTGTACGTGAGTCCTCCCCACCCTTCTGCTGCTTGGCCCTCCGCTGCCCAGCCTGAGGGTCCCTGATGGCCTCACCCTCGGTGTCTGCCCGGCATCTTCTGTGAAGCCCCATCAATCCAAGGCCACAGTAGGCTTTGCCTCTCTCCCCAGTTACCACTCCAGCCACTCAGCCTTCCTGTGTCCCTGCTCTGCTCTGCCCCACTGAGTCTGGACCTCATCTTGGCCCATCTCTTTCGGAGACGAGATTGTCTACACAACTTAGACAAGGTAGTAGCCAAGACCGTAAAAGCAGGAAGCCCTTGTTCCTTCCTGAGCTCATGATACAGACTAGCTCATGTCATCTTCATGGTGACCCCTGAAATACGCAGGAGGAAAGCTAGGCCTCGTGGCACAGGCCTGATGTTCCTGCTACAGGGGAGGCTGGTGGGGGAATGCTTCCAAGTCAAGGACAGCCTGGGTTACAGGGGACGCTTGAGGCCAGCCTGGGCAACATAGTGAGAACCAGTCTCAAAACAAGTTTAAGGGTTTGGGAGGGTGCTGGGAACGCAGCTTAGTGGTAGAGTACTTGCCTGTCATGTGGGGGGGTCCCTGGGTCAATCTCCAGGAGCACAGAATAAAGAAGGGAAGGAGAGAAAGAGAGAGGGAGGAGGGAAGGGAGGAAGGAGGGAGGGAGAGGAAAGGAAGCACAAGACACTGCTTTTAGACACTCCCATCTGTGGTGAGAAACCTGTCTTAGCCACAAAGCCCACTAGCAGTGGGGGACCTTCTAGAGTTCAGACTTCCGTGCCCTTCTGAGAGATCTCCAGGGCCCATCAGTGGTCCCAGCTCGAGCCTTGCTGAAAAAAAACTCTGCAGTTTGCAAACTAAGTAGAGGAAGTGTAGGGAGAGGCAGGAGACATCTCCTCTGTGGGCATTGTCCCACGGCCCTTCCCAAAGCCTCGGCCTCCAGAGTCGCCAGGATGACAGGCACACCTTAGACTATACCCCTAAGGTGCCCACTGGCCATTCCAGCCTGTCACTCTAAAGCTCCCATCCTCTGTATAGCGAGACAAGAACACACAGGTGTGTTTGGCTGCGGTTCCACGCCTGGCTGTAGGGGTGGGGCGTCTTCTCGGTGGGCGGCTTCAC